TCACTGCTTTAGAGCATTAGAATGGATATCATTCAATTCAGTATTTTCATCTAGAATGCTGAAGAATGTGAATTGAAGAGCATCCTTCCTATCACAATGAGTGGCAGTTTTCAGATTGTCATTGACCACTTGATCAAGTGAATGTTTCTCTCATTAACCATTTAATAATGAAGGAGCTATTTAGTTTCATACTCTCCTTGGATCCTGTCAAATTGCTGGTGACTTCTAGTATAGCATGATCTTATCAATAGCAAAATAAAACTGCACAAAAAACAATGACTGGAATTGAATGACAGTCTTAGGGCACTAAAGTCTTTTTTTTTTTTTTTGACAGTTACTTCAGTGTCCTGAGGTTTGGGAACAATTGCGGACAACCTAGAGTTTATTTCTAGTTTTTAGAATATAGAGTTCAAAGAATATAAAATTCAGCATTAAAAACACCCTCACATGCTTTTGGACGTGTTAATTGCAGTATCATTTGTTTCTCCCATTTATTTGTAGCTTATTTTATGCTTTTATGATGAATTCTGGTGTCTTGGATATTATAATAAATTATAATAAAATTTACGATGATAATTCTCGTAGCAATTGAATAAATTTTTCCTCTGAAGTGATGCTCATTAAATAGAGCTGTCCATATTTCTCTATTGTGAAATTAGTTTACTCTAGACATGGTAACTCCTCTTACTTGAAAGTTTGTGCTGACCTACTGTCTCCATCTTTATCTGCATCTTTAATAAATAAGTAGAGATGCTCTATTATCTTCCCGGTGCTTGAAGAAGAAAGAAGGAATTCTCCATCAAGGAGCTGAATGACTATAGGCTGGTTGCTCTGACATTTACAGTTATGAAAAATTTGAAAGGCTAGTGCTGGCCCATCTGAAAACCATCACAGATCCACTTTAGACTCCTTGCAATTTGCCTACTGAGCAAATAGATTGGCAGATGATGCTGTTAGTATGCCACTGCACTACATACTATAGCATCTTGAATCTTCAAGAACCTATGCAAGGGTTCCTTTTATAGACTTCAGCTCAGCATTCAATAATTTCATTCCAGATATTCTTCTAACTAAATTGATTCAGCTAGCCATGCCCAAGCACACTTGCAAGTGGATCATAAGCTTTCTAATGCAAGGAAGCAACAGTGAAGCTAGGCAAAATTACATCATACAGTGAGTACAGTGAGCATAGCACCTTCCCCCTCTAGGGCTGTGTGCTCTCTCCACTTCTCTCTCTATACCAATGATTACATCTCAAAGGATTCCTTTGTTAAAATACTAAGGTTTGCAGATAATACAACAGTTATTGTTCTCATTCAAAAAAAATGAAGAATCTGCATACATACAGATGTGGTGTGGCCAGAACAATCTCAAAATTGTAGAAATAGTTGATTTAGGAGAAGCTCTCCTATTTTACCACCCCTTACAATACTAGACAACACAGTATTAACAGTAGAGACCTTTAAGTTTCTAGGTACTATAATATCTCAAGACTTAAAATGGACACCATCAACATCAAAATGCAATAAAAAAGCACAACATTCTTGGGCAGTCTGAACTCAGAAAGTTCAGATTACCCAAGGAGCTGCTGATAGAGTTCTACAAAGGAATTGTTGACTCTGAATTTTTCTTCAGAAATTTACTTTACACATGAATTAGCTCGCACTTCTTCTGAAAAGATTTCAAAATGCACCCAATTATCAGGAAAAAGGATACTAGTTTATGAAATGATGCGGTTCCTGTACATATCCGGTACATCCTGTATATATTTCGTTCTTCATCAATCACAGACAGAGTTTCAACTAAATTGTAGATGAATGTGATTCTTTTGACTTCATGTGAGTATGGGTATTTGGGGAATATTTTTCTTTACAAATATTTTCTTTACAAAGAGAAACTAGGAATGTATACTCAGTTAACCTTGGGCCAGTTGCTGAAAAGGTAGAGTTAAGGTTTTTACTTTTTCCCCAGACTCTCTATTTATATTGGGCTTTAAGAGTAAGAATGGGAGGTAGAAATAACATGATAAAAAACATTATATTTTTATTTTATTTATCAAATTTAGAAACTGACAATCTCCTTCAGAGAGGGAAAATTAATAGTGTATCAATAATATATTAAATCCATAAAATTGAATGTAAAAATTTAAAATAGAGGCAATATAGTTAAATTATAGTTTAACTATAGTTAAAATTCAATTAAAATTCAATTTAATTAATTAAAAATTAATTAAAAGGAACAGGGATTTCAGAAGGCTAGTCAGCCTCGGGTCTTTATATAGCATTGCCAGTTCCCAAAGGTGTTTTTTTCAAGAGGCAACTGGACTTTCTGGTTTTTCTTTGAAGAAGTTTTGCTTCTCATCCAAGAAGCTTCTTCAGCTTTCTTAGGTCTGTATACATCTTTGAAAAATCAGGAGAGTGGGGGTTATCCTTGGGATGGCCTAGAATGTTCCAAAAAGCAATGGCAAAGGCAGAGAAGTCTTTCTTCCTGGACTCTGCCACTCAAAATTCTTTAGCTGATGGGTCCACAAGATATCTTCCCTACCTAACCAAATAGGACAGGCCAAAATAATAAAATGAGGATGGTTCTATAGATAACCTGACTGTATTATACTTGAGAGAAACATGTATAGCAGAAAAATAATTAGAGTATAATCATGACATGTGTATCCTGTGCTACCACAGATGGATGGGTTTATATTTCAGTCTAATGGCATAGTTGATTGTGTGGCTGAATATGAAATCCTATATACTAAGACATAACTTGCACTATGTGCATATGTATATTTCACAGATAAATCATGTGTACAGAATTTATATATTGAATTCTTTTGTTGGGGCCTTGTGCAATAAGCATGCTGACATTGAATTGAATTTATATATTGAATTCTTTTGTTGGGGCCCTGTGCAATAAGCATGCTGCGCAAAGAAAAAAATAGCATACTAAAACTACAAAGCACATTTATTTTCCAAAGGACTTGAATAAGTTTATAATGGATACTTTAAGGCAGATTACAAAATTATAACTTTTAATGTAATACAAGAAAAAATACATTTTTATCATGCATGTCTCTATCTTTCATCTCTGAAACAATGAACTCATTATTGAGAACCTGATTTACTCAGAAGGCTCATAGACTAAGTATCATTTGATTGGATTCTTTGCCATTAGCAAAAATAAAACCATAAACAACCAGAACAGAAGTGTGTTACCAGAGGTGTATACTTATTTATTGCTCTATTGTCTGTGATACAACACTTGGTAGATATTTCACCATTGTCTTGATGACTTTAAACAACATTAATCTATATTAAAATAATAGATAACTCTATTCTAGGATCTACAGGTTTTCATTTCTTGTAGTAATTATTTTCATAATTTTCTTTTTCTTTTGTGAAAGGGGAAAATTCTCATTTTCCCAAATTTCAAATTAACTAGGTTGCTTGAGCCAAGTTTATTGGAAAAGTAATAGGGACAGTATGTAAAGTTATGAAGGAACACAATAATTCAGTGGCTAAGATGCTGAGCTTGTCGATCAGAAAGTCAGCAGTTCAGTAGTTCAGTAGTTCGAATCCCTAGCTAATGGAGTGCGCTCCCGTTACATGTCCCAGCTTCTGCCAACGCAGCAGTTTGAAAACATGTAAAAATGCAAGTAGAAAAATAGGGATCACCTTGGTGGGAAGGTAACAGCATTCTGTGCACCTTCGGCATTTAGTCATGCTGGCCACATGACCATGAAGAAGTCTTCAGACAGCATTGGCTCTTTGGCTTTGTAATGGAGATGAGCACCGCCCCCTAGATCCGGAAACGACTAGCACATATGTGTGAGGGGAACCTTTACCTTTACCTTACAAAGCTATGACCCCTTGAAAAGTATTCATAGAAACTTTAATTGTAAAATAAATGCTGATTAGTAATAATATCAAATATTCATCAACTTGTTTTATACCTTCACTTGCATCTCTTTGGGTTTACAAAATACAGATATTTTTTCTGTAGCTCCAAGATAGTGGGTGAGTAGACTAGATTAATTCCTTACAGATGGGATTTTCAAATGAAATTTTTTTATTACATTTAAGTCACACTTTTTGCTATTTAAAAACTCCCAGCTCCATCAAAATAATCCACATGTATAGGGAAGGAGCTCTGGAGGTATGTCCATTTATGGATATGTATATCCATTAGTGTAATCTTTGCCATATTTTATTCTTTATTTGTATTTCTTATTGTGTGTAGTGTAATGTAAGACTTCAGTGGATGTAAGTTTTCAGTGGAAACTGGTGAAATACACCATGCTAAGCTTATGGACAGGTTTCTGAATACTAAAAGTAGTAACTACTTTAATCTTCAAAAACTCTCTCCCCGAAAGCCAAAATTATTTCTATCTATTTGAATAGGGCTGTGCTGACTAACTCTATTTCTGGCATCTAAAAAAAAAATAAAAAAAAATAGCACCACCAAAAAAAGAAAGAAAGAAAGAAAGAAAGAAATGCAGTAAAATTTTCCATTGTTTAAATTATACAATTGCATGTGGTTTCATACTCCCTGTACAAAATCCCAGCTATTCAATTATTAAAAATAGTGCAATTAAAAAAGAATAATAAGCATCCACCATATAACATCTCAGATTAAATAATTATTGATAAGAATGACAACAAAAACAACCTCTGGATAGTGGACTTGATAATATCTGGAATAGCAGAATACAAGAAAAAGAACTGAAGAAAAATCACAAATTGCAAAGTATTTCGCAAATAAAATAGAATGACTGTGACAACATAAAGCCATGTTAGTACTAATACCATGTTTCTCCAACAATACGCCCTCCCCCAATAGGAAGACCCAGCATGTTTTCTAGGCATAAAATGAAATTAAGCCCCTCCCCCCAAATTTAGGCCTAGTTTAAAACATGCAAAATTGGGGGGGGGGAGGCAGGGGGAACTTGCCATTAGGAGTGCCCCGCAGGCAGCTACGCCTCACCATCAGCTGCTCCTAACACCATGGTGGAACATGGAGAGCTCCTTTACCCCTCCCTTACCCGGGTCAGCAGGTGGGCAGCGTCGGCATGGATGTCCGGCAGCATTTCAGCCGCTTCTTAGGCCTCCATAGCTTCCACAGTTCCCACCAGTGCTGGCGCCTCTCTCACCAGCGCCGTCACCAACAACAGCATCTGAGTTGCTCCCGCTTTTCCCCCGTCCCCGTACCAACAGGGAAAAAAACATTTTGAGGTACCTGGGAGCGCCGCGTGCTGCATTTTGGTTTAATCCTGAGTGGCTGGGTGGGCGTGAGAAGAGCCGAGCGAGCATCTCTGCTGCTGCTACCCTTGGTGCTCCAGCCTCGGGCTCTGCAAGTTTGCAAAAGTCCCGGTGTGCAGCCCATTCCTGCATTCCAAGCACCCAGGCAAAGCTGCAGCTGTCCCTCTCTTGCCAGCGCTGTCTCCAATAACAGCGGCAGCAGTGGCGGGAACCGTGGAAGCATTTTAGCCACTTCTCGGGTGGGAAAGCCACCTCCATAACTTCCACCAAAACACAGTGCGGTGTACCTCAAAATCTTTGAGGTACCTCAAAATCTTTTTTTCCTGTTGTTATGGGGACGGGGGAAAAGTGGGAGCAACTCAGATGCTGTTGTTGGAGACGGCGCTGGTGCGCGGGGGGGGGGGGAGAAATTAATTCACCCCACAAAAGACGTCCTAGCCATTTTTTCGGGGCTCAAAAAAAATAAAATAAGGCCCGGCCTTATTTTGTGAGAAACATGATAATAACAGGCACCTTAGATGCAATCCCAAACCATCTGGAGCAACACTTGAACAACACCCACATTGACACAACCAATTGCACACAATCAATTGCAAAAGGCAGCTTCACATGGAGAGTTCATATCCTGATATTTTAAGATCATCAAGCAACATCTCCCTATCCCAGGACTTTGGGAAAGACTCAATGGTAGATAAAAATACTAAATCAATTCTAAACATGTAGCTGACTGTGCAACAAACAATGATAATATAACAACATTTGCTAGACCAATACTCAAATACAGCTCATCAGTCTGGAACCCATATTACGTATCTGATATTAACACAGTTGAGAAAGTCCAGAAATATTTCACAAGAAGAGTTCTCCACTCCTCTACTCATTGCAGAATACCTTATGCCACCAGACTCGAAATTCTAGACCTAGAAAACCTAGGACTACACCACCTTCAGTCCGATCTAAGTATAGTATATAAAATCATACATTGCAATCTCCTACCTGTCAATGAATACTTCAGCATCAACCATAACAATACAAGAGCAAACAATAGATACAAACTCAAGGGTAATCACACCAAACTTGATTGCAGGAAATACGACTTCAGTAACAGAGTGGTCAATGTCTGGAATACTCTGCCTGACTCTGTTTTTTCCTCCAAACCACAAAAACTTTAACCTTAGACTGTCTACTATTGACCTCACCCTTTCCTAAGAGGTCTGTAGGGGGCGTGCATAAGCACACCAACGTGCCTACCATCCCTGTCCTATTGTTTCTTTTCTTTTATTTTTATTTTTCCTATATGTATCCATGTATTCATACTATGTTTTTACTTATACCTATTATCTTGTAAGCAATTGACAAAAATAAATAAATAAAATAAATAAATAAAAATTCTGAAAATGTTTCTTTCCCACAGAAATATCTGAAAACTTTAGCTATTCAAAGAAGAAAAGGAGAAGAAAAAATGGTAAGAATCTATGTAAAATTTATTTCTTATTACCTGAAATATGTAATTGTTTACTGTCTTCAGAACTAAGTAAATTTCAGCATGAAGCAATAAAAGTGAGGTATGTGACTTCAACATTTCCTATTGCAACTTTCAGAGTTTCCTGTAATCATGATTGCTGAAAATGAGAATCAGTTTTTGACTCTTTTGTAGCCCTAAAGCAAGCATATTACAATGGAAAAAAGAATACCAATAGTCTTGGGAGACTGGCCCCTCTGTGATACTTAGCATCTACTTCTTCATGTAAAACGATATTTAAGATGTTGCTGTCCTTCAAATGTGCACTGCCAGGAGTAAATTGAACAGTATAAAATTTGACTGAATTTGTTGCCTGTGCAAAATTTATAAAATCTATTTTTTTCTTCCTCCCCCTTCCTCCTTCCCTCTCCCTACCCCTCTTTCTCTCAATGAAGGACAAATTTTCTAAACTGTCAGCTTCCACCAACAGGTAAAGAAAATATTTTAATCTTCTCTTTTGTTTTTTATTTATTGACACTGCAGGTATAAACCTTAATGCTAATTTGCTCCATCAAAGTGGCAGTCATAAACCTACTATCCAGATTTCAGAGGAATGTGTTAAATTACAATTAGCTTTTATATAGTCAGTCTGTCAGATAAGGGATTCTATCAATTCGTTTGACTTTTGGTTTCAATAAAATATGTCCACAAAGTGTCACTAACATTTTGATTAATTTTGATTAATTAGCATTATTATACATGAATGGCTTATATTATCAAACATAAGGAAATTAATATTGTATTCTGCTACCTGGCTGACACCTTCTCTTGATGATGACAAATAAGATATTTGCCAATTATACTTCCTCTTTCTTCTTTTCAATTTACAAACCACTATGTTCTCAGACATTGTCCCAATAACCTCAATTTTCCTAGCTTGACTACAATATGTTTATGTATAGACTTGACATATGCTTTCTGAAAATTAAAAAAATTGAAATTGCAGATATAATCATTTAGAAAACAATTAAGAATGTAATCTTTGTTTCTAACTTATTAATAACAGGATATGCAAGCAAAGAAAAAAAAACCACCTCTATTTCTTTACAATTATATTTTTTTGCATTTACAACATTTGAAATCTTTAAGGGACCGAAAGGTAACGTCAAGATTTCAACTGTTGTTAAAGAAGTGTTTGAACAATAAGTGATTTCTGCTTTTCTGTGTTTCTTTCCAAATAGTCACCTTATCCGAATTTCCAGAGACATATCAAATCATGAAAAACAAATTGTAGAGGCAAGAAAATGCTCAGTGAAAAAAGGACTTCAGAAGTTTAATATTGAATGTTCCATGGTAAAAATCCATACTCTATACTGACATGCAGCCTCTTTTTTCTTTTCAAACATGATATTTGAATGACATGCTAAGAATGTTGGGAGAGGGAAAGAGTCAGAATTTGCTTTAATTTAATGTTGATTTAATTTAAGTTAAACAACAACAACATACTACATAGTTAATCATTGTAAACACTTTTTTCACATTCAAACAGAACTCAGAAGCAAATGAGCCTTATGAGCTACAACTAGGGTTTGGAGGCACAAGTGGAGTTATACAGCATATGGCTCTTTGATAGGGAAAGCAGAAAACTAATGGCTCCATTGTTGATAACATTTCTAGCAGTGGTTTAAAACCTGCCTGGAGTTGAAAATCTGCCATTGGTTGAACTATGGTTTATTTAAGCTGGTTTTAAAAAAGGAAAGTAGAGAGCAAGAAAGTAGACCACAGCAGGGCAGAAATAAATGGATCCACATGAGAGATTGGAAGGAAGAATGAATTGGAAAAATAGGAGACAATGAAAAATATTTGAATGAATGTCGAATGTATTTCAACAGCAGCTTGATAATTGAAAAAAGTGTATTTTTGTGCTGAAGTCATACAAGGTATTAAATCATGACTTGTTTCATGGCAGTTTGTTGATCATGTAATAATAGCTGGTTTCACACAACATGCTAAGATATTTTACAAACTATAACATTTGGGTTCAAACAATACATTTAGCCACAGTAACAAACATTATTATATATTGATAAGTATTTGAGGACAGTTTGAGTAAGAATTTGTGGTATAAAAAGCAGTGGTATTCATTCAGCATTTTGTTACTATTATAATAAAAATTTAACTTTTAGTGATTAGTTGCACATGAACGGGATCATTTTATAGATAGAAATGGAAGAGAAAAAGTGGTAGGAAGATGACATGCTAAATTTCAAAAGACAAAAGACACATTATATTAGATCTAAAATAAGGTTCTAATCGACAGATTTTTAATGCTGTCATAAATGATATTTCCAAAAGCTCCCCCCCCCAATCTAAATAGATAGACTGGTGCAATAGCCTAGATGTGGAGATCTCACTTCATGATCAGGAGGCTGTGAATTCAATCCTACATAGCGGTGGATATTTCTCTCTCTATTTCTCTCTATAAGGTACACTAGATAAAGTGGGTTCAGGTGGGGGCCTGAGGGCTATGATTGCACTGCAGGGAATACTGGGAGAGCTGCAGGAACAACATCTGCTAGATATAGTGATGTATCTTTGTGGAGTGTCAGGTTCTACATGGTAAGTGGCAATAAGTTATATTGGTGGATGATTTGTACATTTATAGACATAGCAGCTGAACATAAAGCAAGGGGGCGGATAAAATTGCCTTTACCAATTCTGCAGGCTGTAGGTGGGTGAATCCATGACAGGGCAATGGCATTTGACAGGATAGAGCCATCGCTGGAAGAAGAGAGGAGTTTTGAAATGTCTTGATATTTAAAATTATATTTGTCAATTCTTGAAAATAAATTGCTTTTTCACTAAGCAACGCTTCTGAGTAAACCAACCTTAAACATTTGGCCAGTAGTTTTATATGTTTTATATATAATTTTAATTTCTCCCACAGCCATCCAGATGAAAAAAAAACAAAAAACTTCTTGCATGACCTATTTTTTTTCCCAATGAGACATACATCAAGCCCACATGCCAACTTTTTTTAACATTCTGCTCAGAATTCTGGTAACCACTATTTTCTGTTCCTGAACTAGGAACTAAAAAGAATTATTGGGAAATCCTGGGACATATTTTTCCAGGCAGAAACATGCCTGCTACTATCTCAGGCAAAATGGAAAAGTTGGGAAATGTGCATTTTTAACCCTTTGTTATCAGGTTGGGGTCCTCTACCATTGCTGTGCCAACAGTTTTATCTATTTCCAAGGTGTATGTCATACATTTATGAACATGAAGAATGGGGAAAACAGCTATCAAGTTTGGAAGATAAGCTGTGTCACAAACTGGTAAATCCACACAGGGACTGGAACAAAGCCTTAAAAAGCCTGGTTGAGTCAAGTAAAGATGACACATACTCCTTAACTGATTTCTGGGGTATCGTTGTAGTTTACATAATAATGCATGAAGTGAGTATAAAGAGTTCCTTTTAATAAATATTTTGTTGTTTCCTAGAAATATGATGGATGTTGCAACTGTTTTAAGTAATTTAAGAAACAAACATGAAGATCTTCTCAAGAAACAATAGTGCAATACCTTTTGCATAACCCATTTTTTCACTACACTTGCCACAACTTCTTTTAGGAAGGAAGGAAAGAAGGGAGGGAGGGAGGGAGGTAGCTAGGTAGCTAGCTAGATAGGTAGGTAGGTAGGTAGGGAGAATAATGGACAATTACTTTCTTATGGAAGAAAACAAAATTATTATTATAAAAATAGAACCCGTGAGATTGTATTTAATACTGTGGAGTGGAAAGCAGGTGTGGGATTCTACCAGTTCACACCTATTGGTAGAACCGGTTGTTAACATTCTAAGCAGTTCAGAGAACCGGTTGTTAGAAGAAATTACTGGCCTAATCCTGTAAGGAAGGCAGGAAGGAAACATTCTGGTGTTGCTTACAGAAACTGCCTCTCTGTTAACCCTTATTACATTCTTGGCAGGACTAGACTTCCTGTCTCTGGAACCTCTCTGGAGGTTTTTTTCCCCTCCTTTGCTGGTATTTTGCTTGTGTGGAGTGACCATTCAAAGTTACAATGGCACTGAAAAAAGTGACTTATGACCATTTTTCACACTTACGACTGTTGCAGCATCCCCACAATCATGAGAGGCCAGGTGAGGAGATGCGTGCTTCAATGTGAGTGATATTGAGTTGGCCACGCCCAGCCAATAACATGACCACCAAGCCACGCCCACCAACTAAGCCACATCCAGAGAACTGGTTGTTAAAATTTTGAATCCCACCCCTGGTGGAAAGTCCCAACTCATCTCTTCCATTCCATTCCATTCCATGCCACACCACACCAAGCCACTCCATCCCACTCAAATTTCTCAGCTTCCCCCTCCCCTCAAGCAGTATCAGTAGTGAGTATCCTTAAGCATATAAAATTTTCATTGGACTCTCAGGAATAATCACTTGTCTGTGAAGTTAAATGAGATAAAAGAGATTTCCCTCCCTTTCTTATTTTAACATAGTAGCTTCAATTGAGTGGACTGATTAGTGTAACAATAGTGTTTGTAAAACTTAACTCTTCCCTACATGGACTCTTCCCTACTGGTTTAAAATCCTTTCTTTAAAGTTGACTTTTGTATTAATAGGAAAACTAATGTTTCCTTCAGACTGTGCTTGTTTTTTGTGTGGAAGAGATTTTGCCATCAAATGTTCTAAGTTGCATATTGAAGTAATTTATCACATGATTTATACTTCCAGGATTGATTCTTTCCCTTCTTAGTTTGTGTCTGTGTGTATGCATGTACACAAATGCTTATGTGCCTTCAATTCAATGTTGACTTCCAGTCACTGCTTGGACAAGCCCTGTTTTCTTGGAAAGATTTTGGAAGTGGTTTGCTCTTGCCTCCCAGAGCTGAGAGAAATTACCCAGCTGACTTTGTGCCTAAAGCAGGATTAGGACTCACAGTATCCCAGAACTCACATATACCAAACTGCTTATTAAGCCCATATAGTTTACATCTGATATGTAACTTGGCTTGGATTATTTGCTTATGAGTTTCTTTCTCAACAGCTGGATGATCATCATCTGTCTGATGAACAGAAGATTTGTAAGAATGGGATAGTGCCTTACCCAATCTATGCAGCAGTAGATGCAACCAAATTAGATGCTGCTGCAAATCAAATCCATTCAGGTAAACACTAAGATCTATCTATGTTTATCACAACTTTCATTTTGAAATCAACACGTGCTGGATTTTGTGTGTGTGTGAATATATATATATTAAATAAGTCATGTCCAATTTAATGATCTTGTTGCCATAGTTGTTAAGTGAATCACTGCAGTTGTAAAGGGAATCATGCTGTTATTAAGCAAACCCAGCTTCCACTGTTATATTTTCTTGTCAGAAGCTGGCTGAGAAGCTCACAAGGAATGATCACATGTCTTTACAACTGTTGTAAATACATGCTGATTGCCAAGTGCCCAAGTTCTGATAATGTAATCATAGGGATGCACTGATGGTCATAAACCTGAAAGTTGATTGTAATTGGCTGCTAAATAAATTTTTGGAAAAGGAAGATAACCTGTAAGAAATGACACCAAACTTCATACAATAACAGGGGATGAAAAGAGATACTCTGCTTTGTAACAGTAGTTCTTACATCTTCAAATTGTAATTTTTCAATCTCTTTAAAGATATCTGGTTTGAATTTACACCACATGAGGCTGGATTCTTTAACCCTGGAGAATTTGTGGATGTGACTTTCCTTGGAAGCAAGTTTGAGAATGGTGAACTGAAAGAAAAGAAGAATGAAATGAAAATGACTTATCTGAGAGGTAGCATTGCTTTTGATAGAGATATACTGATGTAGAATATGCAGACTGGGAGGGGACTTTCATTACATAGAATCTTCACTCTAATTGGAATATTGGACAGACTACTATATATAAATTGTGCAAGGTTACTGATATGTTTGCAGCTATGTTAGGATCTTTGGGAAGTAGATGGAGATTGAAACACCAAAGTAAAATGTGAATAAATATAATGGTTCATACAAGAAAAGATATACTATTGTGCAGTAGTATTGGAATAAATCTGCAATTTAATATGCACATCTCTGAGAATAAATTAGGAAGATTATGGACTCATAGATATTTACTTTGCAGTACATATTTCTAGACTTGTACTAAAACTCCTAAATCTTATTATAAAATTAAGGGATGGGGAATGACAGCATTAAGGGATTATATAAGGTTACCAATTTCATTGTTCTCTTTCTTCATTGTTCTCTTTCCAGTTCCTTCCATCTCCTATTTTAACATTCTGTAATAAGTTAGGGTTAGGGTAAGTGCACAGGTGAAATATAAAACCAAATATTTCACAGGTAAAATATAAAACCCTAACCTCTACTCTATGTGATAGACGGAGGTCTCATATCCTGCTGATATTGTTGGATAATAATATATTTGTAGACAGCAGAATAGAAGATAAACGAGAAAATCACAAAATGCAAAGATCTGCAAATAGAAGTAGAATGATTGTGGAAAAAGAGAGTAAATGGCACTTGGGTACAATCCCAAAACATCTGGAGCACTATTTAAATCATTTAAACACTGTCAGCATTGACAAAATCTTCATCAGTCAATTGCAAAAGGCAGCTTTACTTGGAAAGTTATGAGACAGTGCTCATTAAATAACAAAAATTGTCTATCCCACAGTTAGGATTAGGGAGGGACTTGAAAGGTGGATAAATATGCATGCAGTCTAAACATTCAAATGACTGTATGATGAACTATAATGAAATAAATTATTGTTGCTGCATCATTTTCCAGATGTATAATATTGAGACATGTGGTGACTAAAGGTGTCAACCCTTACACACACACACACACACACACACACATTCATTTATTTCTAATACTTTACATTTATAGCTATGATTTATTTCATTTTATAGAATACAGTACTATGCAATTTATAAACTATAGTTTATAACTTTTTTAGATTAAGAAATCCAAAATACCACAAAAGCATGTATCTGTTATGATTTTTATCTTGTATAAAGCACAAGCAGTGATTTTTAAACAGAAAAATAAGATATTGTGATGTCAAAAAAAGGAACTATCCTTATAAGCAAATTTATATTTCCATGTAGAATCACTATTTTTTTATAGAGATATAAAACACGTTGTACTTGAAAATAAGCCAAAAGAAATGGAATTCAATGCATCTTCTATTTATGAGAGTCATGCCTACACCAGTTTTGAATGAGATGAAAGAATGTATATTTTGAGTCTGGAAATCCACCTATCATACTTCTGAATGCAGGCTCACATCAGTTGCTCCCAGAATGCTTTAGGGTAAGAAAACATTTGACTTGAGGTGATGGGAAAGATTAAAATAACAAATAACTCAGATGAGACATACAAATGTATATCTCACTTGAGAACTCTCCAAATTATGACCAAATTGTTATTTTCAATATGACCAAGAGGCAAAATTATTAAATATGTAATTAGATAATAATTATATTCACTATATTTATTGATGGTAAAGTTTAATTTTAACTAGAACAGAATTGTATTTATTTGTGTTCCAGTTACTATGTCTTACTTTTGGGAGGCAATGACCCACACATTGATCCAGAAAATGTAATGTAGCCTTTCATTTAAGCATGATATCTGACATAACATATGCTTGCATATTTTGCTAAGTTTCTAGAAAACTATTTCTTTTCTTTCAGGATTATGGGGAAGTGCTGTTGCAAATTTCAAAGAAGACATGACAGTTTTAATAGGTATTGTATATTTCATATTGGATGCAAAAAAAGTTATCAGAAATTGGAATGTGGCCCAATTGAGCAAAGGATTCCAGAAGAGCTAGATAAAAAAGATATTTTTCTTTTTAAAAAAACTTTTCTTCCTTAAAAGATATGTGTACTGTTGGGACAATGTCAGTCTACAGATTTTGCCAAATGCAAAGTGAAGGGAAATTACTTTCCAATGAATAAATTAATTTCAGACATACAGTATGTACTCTTATGCCCTCTTACATGTGTTGGAAGAAATGTCCATCTGGGTTCAGTTCCAAGTGAGAAGAAAGACACTGAAAACATGGAGGCTGCTTGGAAGGATGGTTTAATGATGAAGCAGAACCACCAAGCATGTGTGATTCTGGGTAGATGACTACCACATGTAGTGGAAAGTGAGATATATTTATACCCTCTCTTGGACCTTGCAAGAAATATATCCTATTGGTTGTCAGACTCAAAGGGGGCTATTTATTTTATTTATTTGATTTGCCAATTGTTTACAAGATAATAAGTATAAGT